TGAAAGATTCACAGATCAGTCCATTGCTTTTATGCCGCTTTAGCATTACTTGGAAATCACTGATAAAATAAGGAAAAGAAACACTTTTCTGTCAGCAGAACCGGTGATAAGCCTTCTCTCCGAACGTCCATATAATCGGTTTCGTTTACTTTGCCTCGCATTCTTTTGAGACAACATTGCTGCGAAAGTTAACCACAATTACTAGGAGAAGCCTGTTGTAAATGTTGACATGATTCCGATAATTTTCGTAGATCACCGAATAGGCTCGACTATTCCAACAACCTCTGGTCATAAGGAAAAAACAAAGTGTAACATATTTTCACATACCGCGTTCCATCAGCCAATCTAATCTGTATGCTGGTTACCGGCTGTGATTGGTCCAGTGGACTTGTTGCCATTGGTTGTGGTGTGCTGGAGGAAGACTGGGAGGCACGTTGTTCTGTTGAATGACTGGACTTCACGTCTGGAGCCGGGCTGAAAGATAAAAAATAACAAAGAACAATCATTAGTGCAAGAATTTGCCGGTGTGGAAGTGGTAAAAATCGGAAGGATCAAACGAGGATGAAGAAACTAACGAGGCACTAGACGAAAATAAGATACAGATTGTGATCAAGAGAACAAAACGGACCAAAGAAGGAACATAAGACGAGGAAATGAAAGAGCGAAAGAAAGAGGCCAACATCTGAAACAATGGAACGGAAAAAAAAAAGCAAACAACTCAAATAATACGAGGAATTCTTACACGTAAGTGAGTAAAAAGTCCTCGCACAAAACACAGTTGAACTATGAATGATAACCAAACTGCTTGAAGAGCTGAAGTGAACTGGAGACACCAACCTGCCTAATTTGTGCCCTGTTCCTGAGAATGCTTGGAGTTTAGGTTTGGGTGGAGGGACATACTCTTCATGTCTGTGATCTTCCATATTAACGTGCACTTCTCCTTTTCGGGACAATCTTAATAACTCCTGTGGAATTTCGCTGTGAACAGGACGCATGAAAAATGTCTTTAAGTCATTAAATTAAAAGAGCCTTTGGATCTTAAATATAATCTAAACCGTGACTCTTGGTGTCCTAATTCTTTACTAGCATATTCACCGTGGTGAATATGCTAGTAAAGAATTGTTTTTTCGCGATACAGTCTCTTCTAAATGGATGGCGGCGTTCGACTGCGTCCTAATGGTCTCGTTTGCAGAGTACAGCTCATGTGTTTTACCCGCGCTTGACGCGCGCACCGCTCCCACGCACTAGACGCGAGAAACACTCACACGCACACTACACGCATCTGCGTGTACGTGTATCAGAAAAATGCACGCAAGAATGTGTAAAATGCGGGTAAATTACACGAAATCAGTCAATTAGAACTCCTTTAATGCGATTACTGAAACAAACGTGCGCGTACAAAGAAAAAAATTGGATCTTAATTCGTCATAATATAAGATTTCCGACGAGAATAAGCGAGTCAGTGCACTTTGTTGGGTTCCTTCCAAATTGAAAATGATTGTATTTTCGTACCCTCGTCTGACAGAATCCAGGAACTGCTTGTTAGCTGGATCATCAAACGACCTCAGAGGTCCATCATCCACTGAAAATCCATTAGACCAGAACTTTAAAGCGACTTCTGTCTACAAAGGATTGTACAACATTGTGAAACAACTCTGCGAGTATATATCAGTACAAAAAGAGGACAAAAGTTGATTTCTCATAGAAAACGTGGGCCAGCAAAATGAGTTTTTAGTGTTTGAGAATGTCATTTTAATTTTAATGAAATAAATTTCATTTAATCTATGGATGGACGTCGAGTGTAGCCAAGATCCTTGCAAATGAGCTACCTTTTGACATTTGCAACACAGTTTAGTTGCCATTGTCATTAAGGAGCGGTAGCCAGTGAAAGGAGGTTGCATACGTGAAATTTAAAACTATCAGCTGAGACAAAAAGCAAGGGGCTGTTAAGAATAAGTGTACATAATAGAGAGATGGTTGTCAGTGCAGGTTCCACACTGATTAGTAAATTTATAATTACAAGTTTGTTGATGATGTCTTACAGGTTGTTGTGGTGCATCTGCCCTGAATGATAGTGTTTCAGGGAGGGGCTGTGAACTGTCCCCTTCTGTATCTCCAAGACGGTAACCTGCAACAAGATCAGAACCAACCATCATCAGAAGAAGGGGTAAGTCTAATACAATCATACATCAGGCTGAATTAGTTATGATTAAGGCAGGAAGTGCCTTTGTTCTGAGGTGGAGATAAATTTTTGGGAAAAAAAAGAATTCAGTGTTTCATCTTCTCACAATAAATTATTGTTGTCTTTGTTGGATAGGGAAAAAAATTCCACCTGGAGAAAGGGGGGATACCCTTAACCTCTCCATTCACCCTTTTTTTTCCTGGAAAGTATTTTTGTTTCTTTGTAAATCAGAACAAAATGAAAACCATTGACACAGCCAAAATTACCTTAACTACCAAATGACACATTTTACCTTGTCAATAAAAATTGATATTCATGCACACTGAACATCAAGTTATAATTGAACATGAAGGCTTAGCAAATGATAAGATGCCTCCACTCCACCTTACTCATGAGGTGAGTACACTGCAGGCTTTTTTCACATTAAGAACTTTTACAAAGAATGTACGGAAGCTGAATGGGGAAATTACTTATCATATATTAGGATTTAAATCTTACCTGCACCCTTAAATGCAGGCTGGTGCCTGGCTCCTTGGCTACCAACCACATCCTCGTCAGCAACAACTTCTGCTCCATGTCTACAAGAAAAATAACAGTTCATACCTTAGGTTCTATCAAGAGAGGAACAAAAAATGGCACAGCACAAACCCACAGCATCCACATAACACAAAAAAGAGAATGAAATTAAAGAAGCTAATATTTACACCTTCTACTCAATGGGGCCTTGTAACATTTTTTCTGTTGCAGTATAAAGAGGGAGATTTATTTGAGAGCTCTTCCTTACTGAAATGTATATACAGTAGTCTATTGACTTCAAAGTTAACAAAAGAGAAATCTCTGCTATAATCAAGAAAAGAACTTAAAGCATCAGGATTTTGAATCCTATTCATGTTATGCACATTCTCTCCCAACAAGTGATTATCATACAACTTTCCCCTACAATATCCTATCAAATGAATATTTAAGGGACTTCATAGTAACTGGAAAAATCAGAAATGTATACTAGTCAGATCTTGACCTTTGACTCCCCAAAATTCTGCAATTAAAAATGACCAAAACTGTTCCACTTTACTATACTTCAAGCCTCTGGCAACTTTTTTATAATGATTGTAAAGCCATACTAATTCTTCATTAATCAATTTGGTACAGTAGATGTGATTGAATTTAATTTACTAAATACAATATCAATTGAGATGAATTTATTTACAAATTCACCTCTTTGCATCATCAAATATGCCCTGAGTAATATCATTCGATGTTTGTTTCTTTCTTGGTGGACCAAGAATTTGCTGTCCACTGCAAAGAAAAACAAAACAAAACAAAAAATAGATATATGTTCATCTAATTATTGAAAATGACAACTAAATAGACAAAAATAAATCGTTGGGAAACATTGCATTTCCAACTGACAAAGTTTGTAAATCAATGATGTTTGTTCATTGTTGTTGTAAATTAAAGTTAATGTGTTGAATCAAATTTCCAGCCAACTTATATCCTTTGACCCTAAAGAGTGACTGGCATCTAATATCTCTTAACAACATCACCCCCGAATAACACATTAAGGTTGCAAGAATAAAGGAAATGATCGATAGAAAAGCTCTTGATTGTTTGACAAATTCTCCTTATCAGCACCCTTAGGAAATGTACAGAGAACAGTATGGAAAAATGCATACTGATGCTAGCATGTAAAGGGTTAAAAACCATCCTACATCTTAATGAGTAACAGTCCATCAGTCTATCTTTCCTTGCCACCAAAACATCTGTCCTCCTGCTCTTCTCATGGCCTGTGGCATGTCACAGGGACCCCTACCTTGTGTCTGAGCCTCCAGCATAAAATGCTTGTCCTTCTTCATCATCACTGTCAGCATTTTCTGTTGCTTGCATGCTTGAAAGGGAAGCAATGTTTCGCCTACAACATAAAAACTCTTACCTTTAGTTTATTGAAACATTTTGAGCATTGATCACCTACAAAAACCTTAAAATTTATATCTAGTGTTTCATCGATAAAGCAGCTCTTACATAAAGGTACTTTTAAATATAAGCAGGCAGTTACTTGTGACCTTAAAACTAAATTTTCACCACATGATGGATTATCACACTCTCTAAGACTTAACTATAGCACTACACTGATGGCGATAAGCACCTGCTGATAATGATCCCTTTAACTCCCATGAGTGACCAAAAGAGAACTTCTCCTTACAATGTCAAACAATATCAAGCAGAGAGGTGATGAGAATAAAAAAAATATCAATTAAGGGATTATTTGTTGATCCAATACCAAATTCTCTGGGCTAATATCATAAGAATTGTTTGGCAGACAGTAAGGAGAATTACTAATGAGATTTTGGGATTGAAAGGAATAACATGCAATAAATGGTTATTTTTCAGCTTACCCTGTAGGAGTGTGCTTTGATCTGGTACTTGGCTGCTGCAAAAGGAAGTGGATAATATGACTGAAATATTATATTACCCCAAAGATTATTGGTTTGAGAGGTATACATTTAGCCATTATGCTTTGCAGCCAACTGACATTCTTTTAAAATGATGATCTTGCTTTTGATTGACTTGACTACACTCACCTATGTTTCCTAATATGGCCTAAAAAAAAATTCAAACCTACTAAAAGCCCACCACAGTGGAGTCTTCCAAGGCTTGTATCTAGACTGGTTTGTGTAAATAATCCAGTGCACTATTTAAAAAATTTCCATCAATTTTACAGTTTTGTCTTGTCTCTTTGTCAATGGCTCATAACTTTTCAAGTTGTCTACAGGTAACATTGTGTCTGATTTTTTGAGAGAGGCATTAAATTACTCCAAAACTCTTGTATATACCTCCTGGGCTTGTTCAGTTTCAGCCCCTATGTTCTCGTCATCTTCTCCCATTGTGTCATAAAAACTACTAAGTGCAACCTGTAAAAAAATAAAAAGCTGTCCACTGCAACTTGCTGCAGGTCATGCTGACTCCAATGAGTGAACATGAATAATGTTCTTGATTTATTTAAACATCCAAGGCCTCATCATATCATTGTTTTTCATTTGCGTCTATGGTGAGAAGTGGAACTTCGTGCTAAAAAAAATTTTTTGATGGCCAAGTCGGCTTGTCGGCTGAGTTAACGACGGCCGGCGGACTTGACTAATAAACTGCCGCCAAGCCACTCCATTTAAGCATTTCCTGAAGTGGCTGTGTATTCTAAAGTTTTGCCTGATTCACTTTCTGTTCATTACAAATGATGAAATATTGACATCCTAAAGAAGGAAGTGCTAATGATATGTAAAACAAACTGAAACCACGCTAAAACAAACTCAGTAACATATAAAAAAAAAGAACAGATCAGCTTTGTTACTCACATGAAGATCCCAGCCGGATGATTCTAAATAAAACTTTGCGCGTTCAGCGTCAGCATCAGTTACTCCGGAAAATTCAGCGACCATCCGATTTCTTTCTTCGTCCGCCATATTGAATAAAGGATCACGTGTGATGTAAGTCTGGAGACTGGGCACCAATCAAGAGAACCCTTCCCTTCGACGTCAGCCCACCCCTTAGACTTGAGTTTCCTGTGTTTTCCAATTACTCTGATCATATCGCTGGATCGCAGATTTAACTTGGCTGTTTCAATGCCACGGGCTAAATAACGACATAACAGCGATCTGTCACGTGTAGGAAAACGTATCTGAGATGATCGTGGCAAGAACGTGTTCTGGGTTGTGAATCAGAAGTTAGCGATCGTTGTTTTAGTTAGGAACATTGTTGATTCTCAGACAAGCGCTCATATAACCCTGTTCAACGATGAGTCGTTCCAATCCGAATCAACTGAGGTATATCGAGGTTTGATTTTTGTTAATTACTGTGTGATCACCACTAATGATTTCTGTGTAATTTTCTGTCATTTCAGTTGTTATTTGGGTCGCTTGTCACGTTCAGAAACTGATAAATTGTTGTTGGGAAGGAAGCCTGGCACTTTTCTTATCAGAGACAGCTCGTCGATTCCCGGAGACTTCGTTCTTGCCGTAAGGTATCTGACTCCAGAAACATATTTTTCATTGTTTCCATGTCATTCTTCAAATGATTTTAAACTCTGATCGCGAAGCTCTCTTTTACCGGAAGGGTAATATACGCTTACTTAAGCAATCTTCATATTCATACACGCTTGTGGTCTCATAAGATTCCATCACAGAGCAAGTTTGTACAACGCGGTCAGTGAAGTTTCCTCTTCAAACAAAGTTGACCACACGCTCATTTGCAGCATGATCAGAGTTTGATCTCACTAAATCACATGGTAGATAGTTTACAAAACTAAACTGTACGTCAAAAGCTAACTCTTAAAACGAAGGTTGCTTTTGACACAATCCAGCGTTCACCGAAAAGGCTCACCTACAAACATAGATCACTATTTATTTCGCTGTATATACATCAACTGTATTAGCCCTCTTGTTACCTATTTGTGAAACCTACAGACAAATATCTTGTACCGGAATTTAGTGACCGCCACACTGTGGTGCCTGTTAATTTGTATCTATAAGCGAAAGTGTAATTGACTAATATTTCCATTTTGCGATCTGGAGTAATATGGACAGCCAATTGAAAGTGCAAGTCGATTTGTCAGCGCTAAGTAGCACTTTGTCAACACAACTGATGACTTCCATTAGCAATTTCACGTAAAAAATCTCTTCGAAGACAATTTTTTCCAAGAAACACAGTAAATTTTTGCTGTTGGAAGCACTTCTACAATTCTTTATATTGAAGGATAGGTTTTGCTAAACAGGAAGTAATTTAATGCAAATACGAATGACAAGATGAGATAGTTATGTATTTCCATAATGTTTTTTAATAGAATTCTTTTGCTTTATGTCAAGAAGTTGGTCTACATGAGATTGTTTTAACAACAATTGGTCATATGAAAAAGATCCAGGGAAAAATTTTTAGGCTGATTATTTTAATGGTACGATTTTGGAATCTCTCTTAAGTGTTCCAAATACCATAACATTTCCTCATTGGATGCATTTTAATACATTAGATAAGCAGCACTTGAGTTGCTATTGCTGTGCATGATAGAAAGTAGTTCAGAGCTTTAGAAGGCTTTACACATGTGGCCATTAGGGTTTTGCTTGTAAGTTTTTGAGTGTGAGTCTGGCAGAAACTGCTATATGCTAATGTAAGAATTAGGAATCCTACCTTGTTGAACACGAGAGCTTGAATTACCAGTTTGGTTGTAAATTAGGAGTTCAGATTTGCAAAGAGTGGTCTCCCTCTGTGAATTAATGTTTAGTGGACAATAAAATTTAAAAAAAGAAATGAAATGAAATGAACAAAGAGAAAGTCAAGTGAATGGGGAACTTATGTGCCAAATATTTCTGAGAATTAAAGGGATAAAAATTAGAAAATGAAGCTGTTTTCTTGTTAGAGCACGAGATTCTCAGAAGTATCACACTGAACTTCCAGATGTGTAGCAATCTTACAATATTGTCTTTTAAGGTAAAAATGAATGCCAAAAAATACAGATACATGTTGTTGTCCCGTTTCCCCTGATCAAATACTCAGAGTACATGAAATTTTATTTTTCAGTGAAGGTGGAAAAGTCAGCCATTACATAATCAACAGCAAAGGGAGTCAATATCAGATAGGAGAAAACACTTTTCCAGACCTTCATAGTATTATAGACTTTTACAAGAAACATTTCCTAGACACAACAAACTTACAGGAGCCGGTAAGTCATCTGTTGTTGTTGTCGTTATGTATAATGTACCCTGTCAGCATGCAATAACTCTTAGACTTTTAATTAGAGAACCTTATTAGTTCCAGTGGTTTTAGAGCACTTTCATTCTCCTAAATTTGCTTTAAGGAATAATTTCGCTCTGTTTTGTGTGTTTAAACAGCCAGAGGATTGGGAAACAAAACATCACTTTAGCATGGCCTTACCTTACATGTCTTTTTTCTATCAGCTCTTTTTCAACTTGTGTTTTTCAACTCATTCATTCTTTCATTGACTGATTCATTCATTAACCATTCACTGGACTGTTATAATTGGAAGTAAAACTATTGAGATAAGGGTTATTTAATGTGTTCACTTGTCAACAATTAAAACCTATACAAAGTTGTGTCAAAGAAGAAATTTGAGTGGTGTTTTGTGGGGATGGGTTGATACTGATACTTCTGGTGATAGCAAGGTCTGATTGAAAAATATGGATACCAGCAAAAAGTATCTCTATTTCAGTACTGCATGCGATCTGCCTGTCTCATGCCTGTGACCTAACACTGATATGGAACCGAAAAGACCGTGGGCTCAAGGTTGGGCAATGAGCACTGCAGTGTACCAGTTTAAGTAGCACACGAGCACTGTAGGAATGAACTCATCGACGACTGTCTTGCCGATGCTTTTGCAGAGTATTGAACACTGCATAGCTTAACAGTGCCAGATAACTCTAAATTTTGGCAATCAAAATAAGTTACTAACATGTACCATTTAACTCAATGATAATGCAGTATTGATTTCAATATCAATATAGAAGGAAAACATCAGTATTGTACTTGGTGTCATATTGATATGAAAAAATGGTTTTGGCCTATCCTTAGTGTTTTGAATTTAATTTATAAGCTACTCTCAAAAATTTTACATTAAATATTTGTGACTGTGAAGGCAAAACGGACACTAACGGTTATCTGTTCAAACAAGTAAACCATTCATCCATTCATATCCATTGGAAATACATTAGCATCCTTTCAAAGTATTGCAACATCCATTCTAATGGTTCTGACATCCATTAGAACAGTTTTTGCATCTGTTTGCCAACTAGAGGTGTTCGTTCGGAGAACTGCAGCATCCTTTTGGTAAACCAATCGTACAACCAATTGTATGGATTAATAATTGTTTTCATCTGTTCTTATAGCTTGCCATTCAGTTCGACATTATCCATTTTACTCATCCATTCAAATGGCTAAGCAAACCATTCTAACGGCTAATCAAACCATTCAAATAATTTATTCACCCATTCGAATGGTTTGCCTGTCTGTTCGAAATTTTTACTCATCTGTTTGAACAGCTAATCAAACCGTTCAAATCATTTATTCACCCATTTGAATGGTTTGCCTGTCCGTTCGAAATTTTTACTTGTCTGTTCAAACAGCTGACCAAACTGTTCAAATAATCTATTCATCTGTTCGAACAGTTAGGCAAACTGTTCGAACACTTCAAGGACCGTTCGTTAACCATGTGTTTTTGCTGTTCGCACAGTTTTCCGTTAGTGTCTGTTTCGCCTTTCAGGGTCACATTTATATCTTCACCCACTGTCTTTATTTGTTATAAGCTATTATGTATATTTGCACAATCATGACTGGTGTAAGTAACTGACGATAACTTTTTGATTCACAGCTATTTAAAGTGGTGGCTCAGTATCCATTTTCTGCTAAGGTAATGTATTAAACATCTTACCAATGTTATTTTTTATCATGTGGTCTTAATTTGTTTCTGAAGTATTATATTTGGCTGTAATCTTGAATCTGATTGGCTAATTATGTGCTTATAGTCAGTTCAGCTTTTGACAATATAGACAACAATCAGCACCATTAACTGTAGAGGGAAAAAGCAAACCAGCATTCAGAAATAAATGTAATTTACTAGTCCTACTTTGGTCCATGTGGGGAAAAAACTGTTCCCTTGGTCCTCGGCCTCAGGCCGTACACAGGGAGTCAGGTACAATTTTTTCCATACGGACCTGTCACCTGGTAAATAAAGTCCTTGGAAACAAGAACCAAGGAGTGTCATGTTGTATTGGTTATGAGTAGCTAAACATCTTTTTTGAACTTGAAACATATTTGTTGAGTATTGTGTAAGATTTTGGAGGGTTTGGTGGACAGTGTGTTGTTGTGTGAATTCAAATGAATCACGTTGGTCCATATTACATCCTATGGTGTCAATTTTATACAGGACGCAGAAGATCTCAGCTTCAAAAAAGGCGATGTTTTAATAGTTGTTGAACAAAATGAAGAAAAGTGGTGGACTGCTATAAATGAACAAGGCCAGAAAGGCCTCATTCCTGAACCATATGTCAAAAAGGTATGGGTGATGTCTTTGTTTGATTCCCACTTACAAATCTTCACACATTTACCAGGGGTTTGAATTGGTTTTGAAGTGAATGGCAAAAACTGTAAACTAAGCAGCAACTGTAATTGAAATTCTATTTTTACCCCATGGATAATTTTTTTATAGCTGATTGGAATCTGCCAGCTACATTTTCTAAAAAATCTTAATACCCTGATTACAGCTTTATCCAGTGTCATGTGAAGACAACATACCCTAGTTTATCACCCTCTCTTATCTAAAATACCTTAATTTATACTTGACTATTCAATGGGTATCATGGGAGAAATCTTGTCCTTCTCACACATAGAAATGAAAATAGAAAAGATGTTCAGATATACAAGATTGTTACAGAAGCCCTGGTATGTGCTTGCCTTTCAGCTTTGTGATCTTCAACAACCAGGCTCTCCAGTACCACCTGCTGCACCACAGCCAAATGATCAAAGAAGGTCTATGCCTCCACCTGCAACTACAGTTCAAAATAACAGTGATGTCAGAAGAACATCAGTGCCGCCCAACATGAGACCGATGCCACCGGTAATTTAAGCACAAAAAATCTTTAATTCATTGTTTTTAAAGATGCCAATCTTGAAAACCAGATTTATTTTAATTTAGGCTTATGTTCCTGAACTGCTCATGCTATATTTGTGAACTGCATTTTGCCAGTATAGTTTACACATGGCAGTGTCTTTTGGTTCAAGGTGGTGCTGTATATCTAAGTGCTCATAGACACAATGTGCAAACTTATCTCAATGTTATCTCCTCTACCTTTTCCTTGTTACCAAGTGGAAAAACATCCCTTTTTGCTGACTAAAATCTTCCAAGACAGACACACTGTTGCAAATTAGATGTGCTGTCGCACTAATAGGCCATTTTGCAGTTGTGTACTTAGTTGCCAAGCCTTTGATTTGGAGTGAGGCTGAAGTTGACCATGTTGTGATAGAGACTAGTATCTAGTTAGCATGATAACATAGTAATGGAACTAATGGAACTAAAAAATCACCATTCCACCAAGAGTAAACTCCTGTGAAGTTTTTATACCAGACAGAGTACTTGTCATAGCCTCTGCTTGCCTTCTTAAAAAATTCCATACTGATTTTTTTCGTTACACAATCAAGTTGGAAAAAAGGTGCAGTTTGACATCTTGTCTTCGTTCAGTAGGATGCTGCAATCCATAAATATGTTTTTATTGATGCCCTTCAAAAATGGAAGTAGATCAATCTATCGCTTTGGAGATGCATTTTTTCCTTTGGTCAGTGCTTTTTGATGTGTTTAATTTGTTGTGCAATCTAAACCTTCTTTGTTTTCAATAGACGGCTGAAACAGAAGGATCAATGTATGTCCGTGCTACACGGAAACATCTCATGCCTTATGATGACACAACTCTAGCTTTTGAGGTAAATGCATTCACTGTGTCAGCTTCCAAGATAGCTTGGGCAGCATGTTTTTGAAGCGTGAAGTTCACATGTTATTGAAAATGGACAGGGAAAGATTTCCTGATGCCCATGGAACAACACATTTTGATCTTACTAATACAATACTAAATGCTGCCTTGCAGAAAGGAGATATCATCAAAGTTCTAAAGAAATACGACAATGGAAAGTGGTTTGGTCAAAAAGGTGACAGAACAGGCTATTTTCAGTTTAACTATGTGCAAGTAATACCAGCAAGTGAAAGTCCAGATTGAATGGAATGAGCAGTAATTAAAATGTAACTAATGAACATTGAAATTAGAATTAGGAGTTTCCAGATCTTCATGTTGTCAATCAATTCTCAATCATCTCAAAAGTTAATCGCAATAGGCGTTGTTGATGGAGCGCCAGCATTAATGAGTAATATTACTGGGATGTTTTCCATTTACAAGGTTTGCCAGTGGCATGGATTAGCTCCTCTGAGAATTACTACAAACAAGAGCAACTTTTGATGCTTCTTCTCGGCACAAACTTACACTTTTATTCCTCGCTTTACTGACTTCCTTGGCAAATGCTGCTTCATGCAAAGGCACCCTTTGAATTTTACCATTGCTTTGTGCATGGACAAATCTCTCTCAAGCCACAGTTTCTCTTAGCAATTTTCTACTATGCTATCGAAAATGGGGTGAACTTTGAATGATTTGTCATGCCTCTGATTTTTTCTCACAACTTGCTGTGTATTGTTATTCAAATGAAAATACTGTGATAATTTATCAAAACGATTTCTTGACATGACCTTTTGTACAGACAGAATACCGATGAGTGGATCTTTGCTCTAGTAGAGGAAATTTGCTGGCAGCTGTTTGATGCCAAACAACACATTTAAATACTTTCATGTAATCCAAGGAATGTTTTCATCTCTGCGAGTGTTGTTCTGTACCATTCAGGGACAGGTTTTGTAACGATGGATTCCTGTGTGTACTGATTAGTTTCGCCAACTATGTGTTTGATTAAGTCAAAATTGGTCAAAACACAAGTAGTCCACAGAATGCAGATACACACTCCCAGGAATAAGACCTGGTGACGCTAGAGTGCAGAGGTGCACTCTCAGGGCCTAAAATTTGAAGCAAATGGTGATGGAAGGGAGAGAATTCGGTGAAACAAACCATTGAAATTAACTAAGAAATGGCTCTGTGCATACATAATTAAATATCATTCTGTACATTCTTCATATTCATGAGATTAGAATTTTTTGAACCCCAATAGTGAATTTTTATATCCATAGGAAAAAGGGGGCCTGTATTCATAAAGGGACCATAACAAATTTGTGGTCAAAAAGCCACCTACACGTACACCTACATGTACCCATTTATAAATTTTGCAAGAGACCTACAGATACAAAGTATATTTTTCATTTTCTTTGTATAAGCTTATTTTTATATCATCGCCTTAGCGAGACTCTTTCAATAGATTCTAAGGCATTAAAGAGAGTTGTGTGCATGTATAGTAGCAGACAAATAGCATTCAGTTGTCTCTGGCAAATTCGGCCAAAAAAAATTTCTGATCCAGATGTTCATGCAGATAAGCAGCACCCACTGATTTGTTACAAAATGTTTGGGAAAAAAGGTGCAGCTTATATGCCTGTATTTGTGGTAGTTGCCTTTAAGAAGCATCAAGCATTCTTATTAATTCCCACAAGCGAGCTATTGGCATAACTTTACCAGATAAATGATGAACATCCCTTGTATTACTCCTCAAGAAATAGCTAGCTTGACTTAAATTAGTGATATAGATTATATTTGATTTTGTGTTAGTGAACTTTGTAGTGTACAAAGCAGCCATGGATGGCTTATTCAAGTACTTAATAATAATATTTGTGGGGAGAACACAGCATATCCTGACATTTGTGACGTTGGAATGTGACTTGAGAGAATAGTCCAGCTTTTGTAAAGTAAATACCTTAAGAACCCAAATAAATACATTTCTGTGTAGAAGAGGTATACACCTATGAAGAATTTTTATTTTTGAAATTGTGCAATAACTTCAATTGAGTGTTATGATATGGATGGAATTTTTGGACTGAGGTAACTGATGCAGTAGCACACATCTACTCAGTTTCTGTTTTATTTGTAATAATTTTCCTTAGTAATAAGATGAAGCAAGTGGAACATGCTTTCTAAGTTATAAGCTTTCTAAAGAAATGCTTTGTTTGCTTGAAATCAATTGGTGAATGAAACAGTGTAAATCTGGTTGGAGTTGGGGCACTCTCCCTCTGTGATGGGTGTGAACTACCTTATAAGGTATGCTTTTAGGGGTTCAAGGTTTAAACAGGGTACACAATTTGACCATTTAGCTTTATAGGGTATCTTTCTGGACCAGAAACCTTGAACAGTGTGGGAACATGGCATAATCCAGTCTAACTACTTGGTACTAAATGAAATTGCTTGTAATTCTTATTTTAAATTTTCTGCTTTTCGGAGTTTTCAAAAGTGCTTTCTAGAGGTCAGTGTGTGTTACTTTAAATGTACACAATTTCTCCTGATCAAAACGGTAGTAGAATGAACAGGTTTTGGTGAAACAGTGGCAGGGTTTGAAGTTGAGGTAGCATATCCTCAATTAAACTCCCCTTAGCTATTTTGGCCCTTTAACTCTCATGAGTGACCAAGACAGAATTTCTCCTTACAATATTGAACAGACAAGTAATGAGAATAAAGAAAAAGATCAATTTGGCGATAATTAGCTGATTCAATACTAAATTCTTGGAACTAACATTATAAGAATTTTATGGTTGACAGTAAGGAGAATTACAAATTTGATCAAGGAGTTAAAGTGTTAAAAGTTAACACACCCTAGTTTACAAATTCTCTTTACAGCTCTTTAAACATTTCCTTGGTATTAACTAAAATAATTTTTTTCAAGCATTTGTGTCCATCTTTAACTCACCTTTGAGTGACCAATACATAATTTCTCCTTCCAACATCAATTTTTAGTTCAAGCAGACAAGTGACAAGAATAAAGAAAAATATTAACTTGCAGATTATTTGTAAGTTCTCAGAATTAACATTATAAGAAATGCGTGGCAGACATTTGGGAGAATTACTAATTCGATGTAAAGAGTGAAAGGGTTAATATTTTATTTTTGTGACGATGTTGTAAAGAGAAGTTATATACTTTTCATTCCAAGGGGTTAACAGGTTGAGTGTCTCCCTGCAGTTAATCCTCACAGCTTTATGTTAGACCTGATTCAGACACCATACTTTTCATTAGCCAGTTGTATTGTCTTAAATTGATTAAAAGAAGTTTGTTTTCTAAGTTAATGTTTGGTGAAAGTTTGAATCTGGACTGGCTCTGCCATTCATCTGGCTCTCCTGAACTGTGGATTTCAACTTGGAACAGCTTTGATTGAAATGCCACATTCTTCATGCAGCCAACCTGTGGACTTCAAAGAACTAAAGTGTCGCTTCGGTTTTCCTAGGTTTCTGGCCGTCATTCAATCGCGTAAACGCAGCAAGCGAGGCTCCTTTAGCCACTTTGGTGGCGTTTCTTACTGTTCTTAGGAGATGATGGTTTAGGTCGAGGGCATGTGGTTAAAGAAGCCACATTTTGGTTATGTATTCCTTGTTTACAAATTTGATTTTCCCGCCTCATATTTTTTCGATAAACCGCCGAGGCTGACGAGGCCCCACGTTCTGAGAAACATACTTTAATAGTTGCGTTTCTCTCCTCCCCCTTATCGCCTAGAACAGGCTTTTTTGCATCATTAAAGTTGTGTGAGTTCTAGACCAACCAGAAAGTCATGAGAAGCAAAATAAAGGCATATACTTTCGTAATCTTTGCGCATAAGACAGGTTCCTCTCGGCTCCCTCATTTCTCCTTTGCGGTTTTCAAACTCGATCTCAACTCGAGTAAAAGGGAAGCTCTTGAACAAAAACCACACCAACAATGATCGGTAAATTTGCTTACGTATTATTTTATAGTTTACTTTAAACAGGAGACTAACAACCAGTTATTTCCTACTTGATTAACGGTTGTTAACAAACCAGGCATGGAACCAAATCCTAATCTAGGATTTGTCTCCTTAAGGTGCCAAACTCGCAAGCGAGGCCAAATCTTAGAGTTAGAGATTTACAGCATAAATTCCCAGTTGGCACCCATCTTTCGAACATAGCTTGTGAATTTTCGTTCAATGTAATTTGTCACTGTGTGCATAGGATCTTGCAGATCAACATTGGGAGGGGTGTGGCAGCAAATGACGTAACAAATGTGTCCCCCAACGCCAACTAAATGCAGTAATAGTTTTAACTAAGACCTATTAACGCATTTCTGTTACCTAACATGACAGTTTCCCTACAGCATGTGTTTCGAGTCAAGACTACAATGGCAACTGTAATAAAGGTTTCATCAAAATCAACATTATTATTATTGATGCTTCACTAAAAAATACAAAACAAGAAAAAACAAATCAAAACAAACAAAAAAACAAAACAAAAGCAAAAACTGAAAAAACTAACATGTCTTGCCAAGTAACCAGCTTAGGAATTAACTTCAGAGAAGCCATTCTAGTCGTGACTGGCTCTATCATGCGTGACAAAAACATAACCAGTTCTCTTAACGTTACCTGTTCAATTACAACACCACCTATTGAAATTAGTTCCTTCCCATTTAGTGCATGCTGTAGTTTAATAAATATTCATGCCTGAGAAGCTCGCTTGATTACTTCAAATGAAAGTTTAAGCACACAATTAGAGCAGATATAGTAAAATAAGCTGACAGGAGTTAATTTTGTTTCGTGTGACAGATATTCTGATGTTTACACAACTGCAAAGAAATTTCGCTATCACTGTTAAATTGATAGAGTATTATACAGATGCAGTATATATGACCATACCATTTACCATCAGCAACCATTAAACTTGGTATTATTATGAAAAGAAAAGAAATGAAATGTAATGAAATACAAACTACTTCCTGTTTAAGTTCTTAATGGTTTCTTCCTGCACATCACCACCTTCATGCACTTCACAAACATGCTGTATAGACATTAAGTGTTGGGTTTCTGTCTTTGGGTGATTTTTATCTCTTAGCCACCATAACAACATAAACAGCTTTTGCTGTTTAAAATGCTGATGAAAGTTAGACAGGACAAATTGCAGAGAGCAATAGTTTAAATAGGAAAAGGGATCCTCATATTAAGACAGATGTAACATTCTGATTAAGAGATACAAGTTTTTGGCTCTCCTGTTCACTTGGTACATCTTTATGACAGAAATTGAGTACTTTTTGAAGTCTGAACCTTTTAGTGTTTAACAGCCTGTGTATACCAAAACCTTTCCTCTCTGGGTATTCTTAACCCACTAGCTCCTGTGAGTGACCAAAAAAGAAATTCTTGCTATATAAATACAATATCATCCAGACAAGTGATGAGAATTAAGAAAAATATCGATTACAGGATTACTAATGGAACCAACAACAAATTCTCCAAACTAACATAATGAGAATCCTTTAGTAGAAAGTAAGGAGAATTACAAATGAGACCTTGGGAGTTAAAGGTTTAATACTTAGGAGTACTTAGCAAGGTATTCACAGGCTGTTTAGAAGCTTAACAGTCAAGGTAAGCCAACAGTTAGCATGAGACCATTTACTCCAGAGATCTAAAAACTAAGTTTTAAACCATACATTTCTTTGCTGGTTGGTGCTGAAAATTGCTGTCAAGTCCAAAAATCTCCAAGCTGATAATTTTCTTTCTTCTTGTAACCTAACTGGTGGGTAGTGTATTGGCATACTTAGGAGATTTTATTTCCCAATCACTCTTTAGAGTGCAAGTTTCAGGCCTTTAACCCATGGGTTCACCAGAGCATCCACAGTTTGAACCTGCACCTAATGAAAAGGCATCTGTTGTTCTCATTTTGTTTCAGTTTGTTTTGCAGTTTCTGGAGGCTGACTGACCTCCTACACCTCTCACTCATGATCTTGCTTTGATTCAGTGCCTCCAAACCATGTGCATAACACTGTTATGTCAATTTAAGCTTGTGCTTTGTTTCTCTTTCCCAATACAATTCCTCTGTCCCACAGATCCACTTGTAATATCTCTTCTTCTCTTATTGCAATATTGCGAAGGACCTGCCTTCACTTGGGAATTGTCTCTGTCTTGAAAAGAATGAGTTTGTTTCCTTATAAAGCCTCCAGGTGTCTCAGTATGTCTGCTCTTGGTACCTGAATGTCTACTTTGTTGAGAGTGTCTCTCATCTCTCTTATATACTCCTTGATTTTGTTTGTACTGTCTGTTAGTCTCCTGTATTCTGCTGTCCCGTTTTTTCTTTTCAGTCTTGTGCTCCAACAATGAATTACCACATTGACTTGGAAGAGGGTCGTTTACGTCAATGATGGATAACTCACTCACTCTTGTTTTGTGCTGTTCAATACAATTTGGTAATCCTGAAATGTCAACTCTGTGAGTTCCTTCCGTCATTGCATTTGTTACATTATCCCCTGAAGGCTCCGAGACTGATAGTAATTCTTTTGTTCTTGTACTAGAGATCACCTCCTCTTGTGAGGATTCGTTACATGAATTTTCCTTCAGCTTCTCTGCTGACGAGACTGCCTAGAACAAGACAAACCTTACTGAAATGCCTATCACCTACCATCTTCAAAATTTAACTTATTTGTCTGAACATGGGACAAAAAAAAATATCCTCCCCTCACACCTGCTGACTCAGCACTCCAACACTCTACTTCTGAACTACAGAACTTGCACTGGGCTGTCTCATATCCAAGATTCATATGGGAAAAGTATTCTGCCTACTGTGAGGATTGGCAAATGTCAAACGAAGGGGGGGGGGAAGAAGGAGGAAAAGAAGGAGGAGGAGGAGGAGGAGGAGGAGGGGGTGGTGATGTCAAAAGGAGGAGAGAGGAAGGGTAAATAGAAAGATAACTGTTGACAAGGGAGTTGGAGGTAATCATGAAATGGATTGAAGGAAGTTAACCTGTGACCTTAGGTTCATCACACCACCTAGTGTTGACAGTTCAAAAAGAGATAGGGGAATAAAAATGGTAAGCAACTGCTCCCATTTATTGTACACCAGGATTTCATTACATTAACATTCTCATCATTTAATTAGTTTAAGCTGGTGCAAAGGCACAGCTAAGTAAGAAAAAATGTTTACCGCAGTGCTCTGAAGATCTGCTTGTCTCCTAAAAGGATGCATTCCAGGATATCCATTAGAAACTGGTCTAGTAAGGGGATTGTTCCCTTGAGGATTACCTTGCAAAATCAAGTTAAAAGAAATGAGAAGGGTTAGTCAGGTGAGAGGTATTTGAAGACCCAAAGTTATGTGTTGAATCAAAGAGAGACCCCATATTAGGGCAAAATACTGTAGGGTAATTTAGTATTACAACTGAGATGATAATGTAAATTAGCCACCATGAGGAGTTTTAACCGCTGACTTTTCGAGCATTAGTCCTTAGTCAGAGTGATAACTCAAAATAATTAAGTTATTTTCAAACACCTGTCTTTGACAGCTTTACATTTGGATTCTGAAAATTTTCTTAGTCTGAGCCCCAAGATCAACTTTGGATTCTGTCCTTATCTGCTATTACACCCAAGCTTTATATAGAAAAACATGGTGTCAGGAGTTAACAAACATCTTATTGCAGAACAAGAAGTTACACATTCACTCACAAATTGCTGAACCATTTACACCCTAACATCAGTATGCATATTCTCTTCACTGATACCTACACATTTCCAAAGGTACTGATAAGGTGAATTTGTACCACAATCTAGAGTTTCTTTAGTTGGTGATCATTTCCTTAATTTTCTTAACATTAATGTTTGATTCAGGGTAGAATTGAAGGGAGAACTTAGATGCTAGTCACTCTCAGGTGTTAAACTGTTAACTGGTCTTCAGACAGAGGCATGTTTTCTCTGAGTGTTTGCCAAAAACTTTCAAGAGGAGAGAACTTTCCCTAAAATGTTTGGAACTCACTTGGGTTTTACGACAGACTTTCCATCAACACCCTGCCTAGGTGAAAAAATTGGGGGGCTGAAAAATTTCTTGAAATGTCAAGAAAATTTCACTTGAGGCCAAATTTCCTTAAAAATCCCCTCAAAGCCACAAAATTGATTAAAATTCCCTTGAACTACTTTTGCTGAACACTGTAAGATACATGAAACATCATGACAGAGCTAACCTGTGTCAAGTGCTTTTGACCATAAAATACCTGGATCATCAAGCATCGGCATGTGGTGGCTCGTGGGTGATTTACATTCAAATCCTGGAGGAGGGCGACCTTTGGAAAAAAAGGATATGGATATCTTTGTAATTTTCAGAACTGGTTCAAATTCTGAGCTGGTTGCAAAGAAAATAAGAAATAATTTTGCACTTCAAATGACCCTGCCTGCCAAAACGTGGCACAGTGTCTTTGTTTTGAATTTGTCACAACACTAACTGGATTTTGAACAAAGCTTGTAACAGATGAAATAAATAGTATGACACAAGCTGTAGCAATTGTTTCAAAAAACTTACACAAAATTCTACAGATAACTAAAAAACTTGTTTCTAAACTTGTCCTAAAATTTCCTTGGATCCAACACTTGAACCACAGGATGACAAGCACTAAAAACTTATCACTGTTACACAACAACTCCGAGGATCAAAATAGATTGCTCTGACGAAGGGCTAACACTCTAAACATCAGCTTTAAGCTCTTTATGGTAGTAAAATTTTTTTGTTATCAACCTAGTTGATAGTACTAAACTACCCTGTTATACTCTTCCACCCACACAGCACCACAGTTTCTTTATAAACTTACCCCTTTATTCATTTGCCCCAAGGAGGGTTTGAAATCACAAGTTAGAAAAGTTATAAGCTTGTAGAAATCCCATATTTTTGGAGACAAAATTGCATTACACCCCAAAAAATGAAAAATCTCTGTTGCATATGTCTTGTGATTCTGAAAGCAGAATACAAGATTACATACCTTGGAATGGGTTTTGCGTTTGCTGTGAAGAAAAAGGCCAGTTAGGTGGATGACTTTCTGTCAGAGGTGCAGAATGAGACCAAGAAGATTGTTGTTGAGGTAACTGAGAATCTAAGAAAAAAAATGAGGCATTCAGTCACATAAAACTTTGGAAATCGAAGTTACAGCATCTTAACTATTGCAATCAAACACAAAGACTTTAACTTAAGTTAATATTAATCACAAGTTTAACATGAAAGTAGGTATTTGAACCAAGCCAATAACCAATAATTCAAGCATTCAAGGTTGTCAAAAAGATTTTGTGTCACAGTAGTAATACAGAGCAGGCCACTCCACACAGAAAGCCCCTCCACAAGCAAGAGGCATTGGGAGCAAGAAGCATTCAGAGTAGCTGTGTATCTTTCAGAGTATGCAATGCAATGTGCTAGTTACTGGCTTATTTTGACCAACCTGAAGCAAACAAGTTTTCTTAAAATAATGTATCCACCAGTAAGAAAAACATTCCCTTTCACTGGGAAGCAGGATGCCTAGTTGTTCAAACATTTCTTGCTTATATGATTGGATAGATGCCAAGATACTTTGCTACTCTACAAGAAAGCTTTGTTATCATAATTTTATAACAAACATACTCCATCAAAAAAATCTGACATTGTTATTTAACAACATACCTGAGAAATTAATGTTTATGTTTGGTAGAAGTGCTCTAAGTCCATCTTGCCAGTTTTTAATATCATCACTCTGAGAGAGAACAAACATTCCAGAATTCAAAATCACAAGTCATAAAAATTAAGTACCAGTAATATATTCCTTCCACAACTAACAAGGGAAGAATTGAGTGTTTCTACTGCAACCTACATTTGGTGGAAATCCTGGGAAGAAACTTTGTGATTGTGAAGCTGTGGAAGTGTGAAGAGTATGTCCAGGCAAAGTTGTTTTGTTTTCTTCTTGAAGAAGATCTGCCAAACCTTTACTGCACTCATTCCAAGGATCAAACCCTTGCAAAAAAGGAAAACACAGTCACTATTACTAAACAGAAATGTTAATTTGATGACAAAAATAAAATTGCCAATGCCATATCAATCATTAAATATGCAAGGAGTAAAGTAAATTCTATATACAGTAATGGTAATTGAACTAAGTGGAGTGCAATTCAGTTTGAAATCAAGCAAGTGATTTCAAAATCAACAAGCATGTCACACTTGTTTGATTTTAAATCACAAGTATGATTTCAGACCAAAATGAAGTTCAATTACCATTTTATTACATCCATTTTTACATAAAAACAATTATATTGCTTGCATACAGCATTTGTTGGTTAGTACAAATATTTTATTGATCCAGTACTGAGCCGCTTTGTACATGGTTCCTAAGGTCCTCTTTCATTTTCCTGCATTTCAATTGGTTACTAAGAGCAAGCCTTGAAATTTTATTGATTGTTTTGTTTTAGTAAAGCTTTCTAATCTGCTGCAAAAAAGATGCAGTTGCAAAAAATGGTGCCATTTATGAATAAATTGCACTGGTGAAAGTCAAGCAAATTGCAAGAATCACCAGTGATTTCAAAATGGATATAATAAATCTGATCATCATCATAATATTATAATTATCATGATCATCATTAATTATTTTTATTGATAAATCATCTTTACCAAAATCAAAGAGACCAAAGATACAGTATTGTGCAAAGTTCGGCGAATTCCATTATTTGTTCTCATGATGTTTCATTGAAAGTTTTCGAAAGCGAAAATTCAATCGAAAGTTTAAGGCCTCTTAAGCAACATTTTGTTTGAACAAAGGATGCTTTTTTGTTTAATTTTCGCCACGAAACGAAAATTTGCAGCGAAAAATGTCTTTTCGATCATTGGTGTTTGAAATTTTGCTTCAAACTGACAATAGACTGCTGCAAATGATTGAGTTTGTTTACTGTTCATGTAAGCAACACGAAATATACATATAAACATATTTCCAGCTTCTTTTCAGTCACAAGGACGGAGACACTTCATATTTGAGACTAAACACAGCAGACAAAAGGTCAAACTACCAAAAAGCATCACGTTCGATTCTGAGCTCGATCTGTGTATGACAATGAAAGTAAATTGGAAAATACAGTAATTTCGACTAAGATACATGTTGCTGGTCGTCTTGTCATCCCTGTGCATTTGATGATTGACAAAAGTTTTTGCATCCATAGACAGCTTTTGAGGTCTTCCCGATCAAGGTAAATTTTCCACGGAACCAGTTAGACGCAACCTTTTAATGATGCGTGTGATGCTAGAAAAGCTCACTCATAACCCTTCCCATTTTAACGCCCTCAGTATTTCAGCTGGGTGAAGGCTTTACTTGTAAAGGATCTCAATTCTTTTTCTAGAATAATTTGAAACTTTTGCCATGATGACTATCAAAAGTAGAGTACATAAATGATCCCAAACGCATCGACACAATTGAGTGTTGCCATGGTTGCAAACAACATAGGTCGCACAGAGACTGGAATTGTAGCAGAAAATTCCACGGGAGTATTACATAGAGCAGTAACAAACCACAAATTCAACCAAATCTTTTTGAGAAGAATGAACAATAGCAACACAGAACAAATTTTCACTCGAAATTCGAGTTGCATTTTCGTCATCAAGGAATATGTCGCTGAAAGTTTGGGCTATTCAAAACAATACATGCCTCAAAAATTCATGGAAATGTCATCGAAGTTTCATTTTGGTCAAGAATTCATCAAAAAGCTATCACCCGATCAATTACTTTTGCACAATACTGAAGGTGTTGTTGTCAGGTAGCCTACAGACCCAGGGTTGTAGCTAAGAAATTAGGCTGCCGACAAACATTTTGAGTAATGTGATTCAAAGATAGCTTTTGATACCAATGATTGCAAGCGTGTAACATCAAAAGTGTGCATTGTGCTTTACTGAGGGAACATTGGCCAAAACTTCAGCCAGCAATTGCCACTTTTTTCGTCTGACAAATTTGCCTGCAGCTGAAGATAGCTACAACCCTGGAGACCAATCAGACCAATCTGATGTGATGCAAGTCATGGCAGTACCTAAATCATCTTCCCCATAAACTTTCAGATGTAAATTAGACAGGCCCAGACCACTGCACAGATCAGCAGAGAACAGACTGGAAGTACTGCAAAGAAAAAATGAAGGAAATGACAATCGGCCAAAAGTAATCTGTACTTTTAGGAAAAAAATCATATTGACAGAAAGAAGGCTAGGAAAGAAAAATAGCAGGTAGCTGATATGATGCTGCACTTTGCTCCACCTAAGGGATGAGTCAAATACCTCTCAGAATTTAACAACAAAGTCACTGATCCCTGTGCTTTAAGTTTTCAGTCACGTACTGTTTGTCAAATTTATATCACAATTTTCTCATTGTATTATTAATAAAAGCTTCTTACTCTAAAACGCGTCCAGCACTTTCTGTATTTCCCCAACCTGTAAATGTAACAACAAAGTTGTCAGCAAAAACAACTGACTTTTGTTACAGAGGGTCCCATTTAAAATAATGGTCAAAATGTGACAGGATTGATTATCAGCCCCTGAAATTTTCCTTCCAACCAACACAATATCTTTCTAATGAAGGACAACTTTTGCTATTTTTCTAAACAATAATTAGTTGGTGAACGGATGAAAAAACTGTATGAACGGATGTTAAAATCGTTCGAACAGATGTCAGAACCATTCGAACAGATGTTGCAATACTTCGAACGGATGCTAATGTATTTCAAACGGATGTGCAAACTGTTCAAACGGTTTGTTGAACGCTTTGAATGGATTTTTTTAGGTGTTCGAACGGATGACAAACAAATAACGAATGGTTTACCCGTTCGAACAGATAACTGTTAGCATCCGTTTTGCCTTTCACAGTCACAATTGATTTGCAAATGAAAAGAAAAAAAGTCATTTTGTCACTTGACACTGCCATGAATAACATGTTGAAACACACCACAAATCTCCAATAAAAAAGCCAACAATTCTTACCTGTATTGCTGTAGGTTGACTGTGGATGGTTTGCAGGTTTTTCTTGTCTTATGGTGTCAGATGGCTTATTTTCTGTTGCAGTTTTAGTCAGAGATGGGAGACAAGATTCCTCCCAGTCCTCCTCCTCCTTTCTTTCTGCAACTGAACTACCTTCATTTTCTAAAGTACTTTGACAGGTATCTCCTTCTCCATTCTCATCTTTGCCAGCCCTTCAACAGTCAAAGGTAAAGGTTAGAAAGAGTCG